TCCTGGAGTACACCATGCCTCGGGATCTGTGCTGTTGTCTTTGTTCCGGAGAGAACAGTCCTGCAGTCACCTACAGTCATTGCACCTTGTCATGCGGTAGGGCCTGCTAGGTACGTGTTACCAGAGATCACTGAATACAGTATTTAGAAGTATATGGGACGTAGCTGGAGGCTGACTTTCTCACTTAGCAGTATAATCTGAAGCTGAAAAGTTTTCCTCAATAAAACACCTGGTATGCATTTTCACATGCAGCTCTTCCTACTTTATAAAGTGACTGCTTGCCTAGAGACATGTTATTTTTCTCACACTCTCAATTTATTCAGTATAAACTTAAAAGATTAGAATTTTATTTTATTCATGATGTTTGTTAATCATCTTAAGTGTTCTAGGCACATAAGATGTCCTGGGGTCTTTTTTTGAAAGAAGTAGTTGTATTCAAAGGTTAAAACAAATGAGTTTAGGAAAGAGGAAATTGAGATATGCAGGTAATTTTATCATTTTGTTTTGTTCGTCATTTGGGAACCCCTGGGTAAATTGTTTTGCTATCTTTAAAAATTTAGCAAAAGCAGGATCGTAATTCTTTCCCCAGTAAATTAAAATTCTCCTTAGGGTGCCAAGTGGACAGGTCCCTCTCTTCTGACGACTCAGGAGCTTTGATTTATGATGGTGCTAAGGTGGTGCATGTGCTGTAGAAGCCTTACTTTGGAGTCTGATCTTGACCTACTGTTCAGTTCCCAGTGCCTCCCAGAGTTGCGGCTTGGCAGGTCAGGGAATCAGTGTATTTGTAACTTGGGATGTTTTCAGTCAACAGTGCACATATCAGAGTGTAACCCCTTGTGAGTCAGGAGCAGCAGCATTCTTCTGTGAGTCAAAGAGGGAGTGTTGAGTTTCTGGTCGGCAGAATGGGAGCGTGTCTTTGAATGTTCTGTCACTTCATTTCTGTCACCTGAGAAAGTCTTGGCTCAGGTAGCAGGTAGTGCTGTTTGTAAATCTGTTGAATGGGCATCTGTTGAATAGATGATACTAGGTAGTATGTGAGAAATTGAGATTCTGGCTCCTGCTCTCTTCTCCCCGCATCTATAGGCAGTGTTAGCGTTCGCCCAGTATTGTTGGTAGGGGTTTCCAGAGAAACAGCCAGGAGAGGATAATTACGCATACGGAAATGGCTTTGAGAGTTCGAAGGCCAACCAAGTCCTGAGGTCTGTGGGTGAGGTGGTCAGGAAGGGACCTGGATTTGCTGATGATGCAGTTCCAGTGTGAAGCCTGAGCATCTAGGGAAAGCCTGGGTTTCCATTTAAGATGTAGAAAAAATCCAGTGTCTGAGGCTGCAGGCAGGCATGCAGGAAAAGCTTGGAGGACATGGTAGGCCTCTAGTTCTGCCCCGGCCTGTAGCTGGAAGAAGGACTGAGCACAGTGCAGGGGCAGGCAGTCCGGTGGTCCAGTCTAGCAGTCCAGTGTTAATCTCGGCTTGGAGTAGCCTTGCAGAAATGTTTGCTTAAGTTTCTGGGCATGCATGGCTCTGTCAAGCTGACCTAGAAGATTAACTGCAACTCATACTGGACATTGTCCAAGAGTTCGATGCCACACAGATAACTGAGCTTACTTTATTCTGTCAAAAGAAACCCAAAATAGCTGCTGTTTGTCTTCATGGTCCTTAGGAATCATCTGTGCTGTCTTCAGGAGGTGCTGTGTTCTGAACAGCACAGCTGCTAGCCTGATTCCAGATGAGCCAGCCTTCTTTGGAGAAAGGCAGGAGCGGACACCTGAGCGAGTACACCCACAGACGCCGTGTCTGTTGGAATGTGTCTTCTCTAGATCAAGGGCCTTGTGGGTGCATGCCAACTCATCGATGTTCCCTGCAGTGTTTTAGGGGGACAGGGCACACTCCTGTCGTTCGCAGCTGACTTAGCTTACAGCTGCAGAGCTGGGGCACCGACAGGCTCGAGTGCCCTGCGAAACTGGCATCACTTACTCTCTCACCCTTCAGAAAGGGTGAGGTCGAGCCATTCTTCATGGCAGGGATCATACAAAACTAATCTCTGAAGGTTTTCCTACGTCCATAGATTAGTATATGCAGTGGGGCTTTTTTCCTGTCATTGTTGGACAGAGCAAGATTGAGAGAGCTGAGAGAGAGAGGGAAAGAGACTATTGTTCTTTTGATCTACAAGTGGTTTCTTTGGCCAAGATTTGTCAGTAAGTGAAGTGGAGATATGTTGTGGGTCAAAATGTAACATTGTACTTCATATTGTTCAAAATAGTTACATTGTATAAAAGCAAGAATTTTTATTTTAGTTTTAAGGAGTTTTGTTAAAAATTGGTATAGGAATTTATTGAATTTTTATATCTTGATCTACTGGTTCCTGATCTCAGAACCCAAATGTTCATGTAGCCTAAAAATCAGTGTACATAATTTTCAGCATGTCCTCCATAAATAGTAAATAGGAGAAATCAGTGATGGTGTCACTGTTACATTGTGTATTGGCTCCTTTAGTAAGATGTAGTAGTCCGTGTTAGTGTTTAGGTGTGGGGCTCCCTGAGGCCCCCCACCCCACGTGTAAATGTATAACATTCCCGCAGCAGTGGGGCTTACTAAACATGCATACAACTCTGTAAAGTGCTTCTCTCACCTGTTATGTTTGGGAGCCCTTCCAAGTTGAAAAAAGCAAGTTGGTGAAATTATTTTTAGCACTTAAGCATTATCGACCAATTTACAGAGATGGGTTATTTTTAAACATTTATGTATTCTGAGCAGTACTGTTGGGGTGCCCTTGTATGTGTTTGTACTTACTTAGTGTTTCCACAGGATGAATTCCTGGTCGGCCTGTGTCGGGAAGTGGATGCCTGGCCCCAGGCTACTGTTTAGAACGGGGTGCATGAACTTCACATTACTTGTTCACGTAGTCTTTCAAATATTTGTCAATGTGATACTTTTAAAAATCCCGGAACTTCAGTGTTGTTTTCATTTCTCTCATTCTGTGTAAGATTAGGTATTTTTTTCTTACCTTTGCTTTCCATTTACGCATACTCATTCTGTTTATGCTGTTCCCAGGGTGTTCTTGAAAACATACTTCTTCAGCTACCTTCCTTGTGAGAGAAAATGGTGGGCTGGTTGTCCTTTTTGATAATGGTGTGAACAGGACTGAGTTCGTGTGGAACCCAAGTGATGCCTTACCTAGCTGGTGTAGATCACAGACTGTAGGTCGGGGCTGGAGCAGACCTCGTGGCAGGATGCCTTCACTGGACTGTGATGCGGGAGAGTCCAGGCAGGTGGCCAGAAGTCCTGCTCAGGAGATGCTCAGTGCGTGTGCAGTGCAGAGGGCTGTGTTTGTGCTGAGTCTCAGAGTGTTTTCCCATTTAGAGAAAATCACAAGGTTTTCGAGGGTGCCTGTGTACTTCATCCAGCTATAAAACCCAAGTTCCATTTATAAATTATGTTTAAGCAAAACTTTAAAATAGTATTTTTGAGGCATACTTGTTATTAAAAGTAAGTCATTAACCTGAGCTACTAGAAAGAAAAGGAGTTTCAAGTCTAGCTTTATTAATTTGGGTCTTTTGATTTTAATCTTACATAGAGAATGCATCTAAAAGTGGGATAGAAATGAGTGCAATGAAGTTGTGCAGATTGTCATTTTGTGCTCCTTGTGTTTACACTGCTAGAGGTGATCTCATGCCCATGTCCTAGGTGTTGGTTGGGAAATCTTCAGAGCTGTCTGTTTTAAGTGACGTGAGGGCACAGTGACGCCATCTGCCTTCATGCGGATACAGCTCCTACATGGAATACAGGTGGCCAGAGTTAGGAGCCACAGCAGCTGTGGGAATGCAGGGGCCAGAGGCTGTGGAGTGACCTGTCCTAGGTGGCTGGTCAGATCCTGTGAAACGTGCCTGTCAGTTTTGTGCGGGCTGTCATTTACACGGGAGCATAAGGTTCTTGTTCAGAGCTTGTTGCCTTCCATGAATAAGTCTGTAACCCAGTGTGAGAATCCCTGACTGGGTAGCAGGAAATCCAGGTACTTCTACAGCCTTTTCTGTTAAATTCAACAGATCAAAATTGCTGCAATTACTATAGAAGTTTTATAATCCTAATTTGTGTACCTTACTTGTAGCAGGTACATCATACCAGCACTGGTCCATGGCTATTCTTGGAGTGGCATTACAGTAAATAATAAAATAATTAAGTTAAATAAAGTGATGGGTAAAACAGAGTCAAATACAAGGTAGAAATGAACAAATATGAATCAATTTTGGCAGGGCACTGAACCATAAATTGGCTAACAAAGATTCAGTGTAACTCAAAGACAGGCTGAGCTAAGAGTAGGGAAAATGCTATACTATGACATTTTTAGAAAAGATAAAGAAATGAAAGAAGGTCTATTGTGGTAGTAGAAAAGAATTTAAAATTTTAAATGCCTAGGATATAGTAGAAAATTTTATTCTTATTTTTTATATTATGAGTACATTTACTTTTTTTATTGGCACTGGAGCTTTGCACTAAGCTAAGTCTCCAGTACTTAAAGAATTTTTGTTGTTGTGTTTTCAAAATTAAGAGACAAAGACTCATTAAAGGTGCTTAGGTTGGTCTCAAGCCTGTGAACCTCCTACCTGGAGTGTAGGTATCTGGGATTATAGATGAGCACCACCAAGCCTAGCTTCTGCTTTTATTGTCGGTCATACAATTCAGTTCAGCTTTCCCGGATCTCCAGTACATAGCTAATGCCCACACAGGGAGTTGTAGATACCCACCTAGCAGATACTCAGGGCAGAGTTTTAGGATTTGGGGATAAGTAGACAACACCCAGAAGTCAAAAGCAGAGTTCTTTAGTCTGAGGAAGCTGCAGAATCAGCACTGAATTAATGCTTGTGTGCTAGGTAGTTTATTTGACCAGCCTTAGGTCTCATCTGTTATTTTTAGTTTGGACAGAACACACCTTTTATATCCTCAGTGTATTTTTCCCTCCTCACAGACACTGTTTGTATGCTGACGGTACGTTTGCTCCTTTTAGGCCTAGACTGCTCACCGGCATGGTTCCCTGGTAACGAGTCCCTGTGGACAACTACAGCCGCGCCATCCAGCCATCGAAGCACCCCAGTCAGGAGGCATAGCATAGCTTCCGACAGCGGGGACACCGGCATTGGGACCTCCTGTTCCGACAGTGTGGAAGGTGAGCTGGGGTTCTGGTGTTAAATGGGGTCTGGAGAAAGAACCACGGTGCACTGCAGAGAGCCAGGGCCTGTATGTTACATTTCAAGCTGAAAATGGCAATGTTTGAGTGTTTAATAATACTCAGTGTTGCTCTGTCATCTTACATTTTCCCTTCATTTTTCCCAACTAAACGTTGAGATAATTTCAGGTTCACATGCCATTTTAAGAATCATACAGAGAGATTCTGTGGACTCTTTATCCATTTTTGCCCTTGGAAATCTCTTACCAACTGGATCAGTGTCATATTTAGTCTGGCTGTTACCTCCAAGCTGAACTTCAGCTTCTTTCCTTGCCAGGTTATTAGTAGGTGAAACAGAGAGTGCTTTTACTGATACGCTGCATTACTATGCAGAATATTCTAAGGATAAAGAATGTGTTGAGGGTTGGTGTGTACAGTGGCGGAGCACTTACTGGGAGCACATCAGATCCAGGTTCAGTCTCTGGTACTGCAGGGGAGCAAAAAAAGAATGAGTTTAAGGCATTCTCGTGATCCTAACAGGTAGTGTAAAAGAACACTTTTTATGAATAAAGCAGTGTCTGTATTGTCAGACAAATGCAAACAGAACAGAAATTCTAGGAAAGGATAAGGAATTGTGGCTGATAGTATGACGGAGTAGTGGGACTCCAAAAACTGACCATAAAAGCAAGCTTGAGACTTATATGGAAATGGACCAGGATTGTGGTGTGCATGATGGAGGATAGTGACTGCATTTATTATTATCTGGAGAGGTGGGGATACTCTTCTTTAAAGCACTGTATTAAAATGTTAACAAAATAGGGAAGAGTGTTAGGCATAATGAAGACATTTATTTAGAAGGAAAGACTGGCATGTTTGTTGGTGTAATATTTATTTCTTACTACTTACTACTACTGGTTATTTTATTGGATTTACATACCTTGCATGATTTTCACAGCATGGAAGCCATTCTACAGTGTGTTCTGTTATGGTTTAGGTCTAAAATGTCCCAAAGAGTCTCATGTACTGAGAGTTAGACTGTGGGAAGGTGACTGGATCATGGGAGCACTCTGCTCATTGGTGATTGACTGCACTATTAGGAAGGGAGGCCAGATTGAAGGTGGCCACTGGGCTGTGACCTGGGAGGGGCCCTTCTTATTCTTGGTTCCTCTCCTTTCTCTGTTTCCTGGCAGAGTGAGTTGAGCAGCTCTCCTCTGCCAGGCCCTTTCGCTATGCTGTTTCTGCCTTGGAGCCAGCCAGTGACCATCATAGCTGCTAAAGATTAAGAATAGCCTTGTATCAGAACATAGATTGATATTTACAGCATAATGTGAGCTTTAAAGCATATTATGCATTAGAATATTTCATATCAATGTCAGGTGTTTGTGCTTTATATAGTTTGATCTTTGATCAACAGTGTTTTGTTGTTCGTTAACGATTATGTCTGTATTTTTTAACCACTTAAAAATTTAAATCTGTGCTTATTAGATTTCAAGCACAATAGAAAAGCCTAAAAAGTATCGATTTCTTGTATTGCAGCCTGTAGCTGAGAATTACCATGGTATATAATTACGTTAAATTTTAAGTAATACGTATGACATTTGTTTGGGTGTTTGCAGATAGAATCTGAGTTTGGTTTAGAGTATATCTACACAGTATTTCAGTGGGCTGCCTTCTGCTCTCATTAGTTTTACAACTCAGCAATGAGGGGGATACATTTCTTCTTCCTTTCAGAGATTGTGTTAGTTTGGTTTGGGTGTGTTACGACATTTTTTAGGTGAAATGTGTGAATGCATTTGAGTTGAGTCTCTTGCGGATCCGTAAAATTTAGGATGTTTTCTTTATGAGGAATGTGGTTGGTGTTTCAGTGGAGATTGCGTGAAATCTGTATATAGCTCCACAAGTGTGTCCTTTTTGACTGTCTTGGCTCTGCCTATCCAGGAACAGGAGACATCCTTCCCTTTTCTCTTTGATCACCTTTTCAGAGTTCCGTAGGTTTGGTGGTACACATCTTTCACTACCTTGGCTGGGTTAATTTCTAAGTATTTAATTTTTCTTGATGATGATGTGAATAGTATTGTTTTCCCAACTTCTCTCCTTATTGAGTTCCTTTTTGGTGTACAGGAAGGTCACTGATTTTTGTGTGTTGATTTTGTATTCTGCTGCATTGCTAAATTTGGTTATTAACCCAGGAATCTTTTGGTGGGATGTGTTGTGTCTTCTGTGTTTAGGGTCACATAGTCTGCAAATAATTTGACTTCTTCCTTTTGTATGTATGATTATCTCCCTTTTGCATGACTGTTCTGGCTAATGTTTCAAGTGCTGTGGTAAACAGAAGTGATGATAGTGCCCACCCTTGTCTTGTTCGTGGCTTTAGGGAGTTTTCAGTTTTCTCCCATTTGATTCAGTGTTGATAATAGATTTATTATAAATGGCTTTTTCATATTAAGATCCTCCTCTACCTATTTTCTTCAGGATTTTTATCATGAATGGATATTGGATTTTGCCAATGACTGTTTCTGTGTCTACTGAAAAGATTATGAAATTTTCGTCCTTGCTTTGGTTTATGTCATGTAGTATACTTACAGATTTTGCTTATTGAACTTTCCTTGCATTCCTGGGATTAAGCCTACTTGGTCATGATGCTTGATCTTTTTGATAATTCATTGCATTCTTTTTGCCAGTATCTTGAGAATTTTTGCTCCCCATACACTGCTGGAATTGAGAGAACCAAAGATAAATTCTTGTTTGTTCTGTCATAAAGTAGTAGTTCTGTTTCTAAGGACCTACATGTTCATAATTTAAGAGGTCAGGTTTTAGTTGGACTTAACATTTTGTAGGAGAGAAATATTTATGACTGTTGGCCAGCCGTCTACTCTGTGAGACTTCTTCACCTTGACTGGCAGCTAGAGTGAACAGCAGAACATGGGTGAGTGAATTCAGCTGCTGAGGGAACAAGGAAAAAACAAAAAAAATTGTGTAAATATAGAAACAAGTTACTTTTTTCTGACCAGCTTTTGAAATAGGTTTTGCTTTGAATAGGGAATCTTTTCAAGCATTCTCTCAGATTGTTCTTTAAATTCCCGGTAATCTGATTGGAGATCAGAATTGGTATTTTGGGGGGTGGGAGATTCAAACAAAACTTTGATCTTGCTTTATAAATAAGCATATAAAGAAAAGTTTCTTAGTTTGTTGTGAACAGTTACTAAGAGACAGTTATACAGAAATAGCCTGAGCACTGTCTCATTTGTGAAAGGTGGATTCTGTAATTGTGTTAAGCAGTTTTCTGTCATAATAGAATTTGAAATGGCTTCTTGAGATGGTTGAGAATCATTTGATAAAACAAGACATAAAATTTGCACAAAATTGCTACTATTGTTGCTATAATTCATGGAGTCCTTTAAAGAATAGGCCATTCCTTTAGCTGTATTGAAGCATGAAGGAGTTTTACTCTGAGGAAAGATACAGAATAAAAAGAAGCAGCTTAGGACAGTGCTTTTCGAGATCCTGACATGGAGGAGCTGCTGCACAACATTCTTGTTTGTTGGTTTTGGATGAGGTCTTTCTTGTAATTACCCTGACTCCAGGAAGATGCTACAGTGCCAAAATAGAGCTTTATATTTTAGCTCCCTCTCTTACAAACATTTACCTGGATTAACAATAATTGGACAATGGTTGTATTTTGAGTAGATGTTCTTATAGTGTGATAATTTTTATATTTTGATGCATTTTTTGTTGTCTTAGGTCTTTTCTTTCTGGACTTTGTTTGGTTGACTTTTCTCCTCACCCTGTTTCTACCTGTATCTGTCCTTTAGAAAGATAGCATCATGGAGATGTATGTCATGTATCATGCAGTTTGCCCATTACAGTAGACAGATCACTGTTTCGGAAGATAGCCTCAGGACGGTGCATGGGACATTGGTCTGGACTCTTCTGTTCATTTCACTTGAAGAACTCTCCCGGCTCTCGCTTCCCACACCCCGCCAGCCCTGGCAGCCCCTGTGCACTGGTTCTACAACTTTCTTCTTTGGGACTTTTCATACGAAAGGGATCCTTTGGGGCGCAGTGCTCTGTTACTGGCTCCTGTCCCTGAACACGTGTCAGTTTATTGCCAAATCGGAAGTCTTCACGTGAGCCACACGTTTCCCTCTTTGGTCCATAGAGTTAGGATTGTTTGTACGCGCTGGTCCTGCAGACCAGTGTGTCTATGCAAGGCTTTTTCCTCAGCAGTGTTTGAAGATTTACTGTTTCTGCTTCACCTTTGCCTGTCCAATGACTAGGCATCCGTGCTGAGAAAAACGGAATCTTCTGTTTTCTTCTTTTGGCACACTGGATGGTCTGCTGTGTTAGCAAATGAGCAGAGTGTGTCCAGGGTGGTGTTCTTCACAGCTTTTCCTGGGGGCCTGAGGACTGGCTTGTAGTTAAACTTCTGGATCATGATTCTCGAGTCCCAAGTGAGAACAGTCACTACTCCCAACTCTGGAGGGACACATGTGTGCTCACCACCTGCTACACTCACGGTCTAGAGCAGTGGTGGTGACCATGTGGCATGCATACTGCCCAGGCTGCTTGTGTCATTGAAAGCTCTGACCAGTTTGCCATCAGTGGTCTGGACCCTTGGCTCTGCAGCCACCTTTGCAGAAAGCGGACAACTTTGTCATCACTTGTATCTGTGGGAAATGGTGTGGGATACTCTTCCTCCTGTGCTGGAGGCTTCTGAGTATCTGCAGTGGATTCGCAGGGTGTGCTGGGAATGTGTGGTCTGGCATGAGAGCTCTCCTAGTGATGGAAAGGCTCTGCAGAGCCACACAGGCAGTCTTGCATACTGTGGTGCTCATCCAAACCCTTCCGCCTGTGGGCTTTTCCTCAGTCATCACCTGCTGGGCATTTCTGTGCAAAGACCAACTGGAGTTTCAGTTTGGCATTTATCTCCTCAGTTCTTAACCTCTGCATTCACTTACAACATTGCCAGTGTTAACTTTATTTCTTTAAAACAGTATGAGGGCACATAGGTAACATCATAATGTATCCTGGCCTGAGAGTCAGATAGTGTGGAAAGATGCAGGGAATGTAAAAGTCACCTTTTGCTCCACCGGCCTCCAACTCCACCAGTTCCTGGTATTGTCTGGCTTGCACTTGGCACCCGTGATGGGAACTCCAGCCCATGCTGGTGAGCTGAGTTTAGGGAGCACTCTGACTTCTGGTCCCTCTGAGGGTCCTGCCTCAATGCCTGTGCAGAGCATGTGGTGGGAGACCTGCCCCATGGCCAGGGGCTCTGGGGCCCCCAGAAGGGAATGTGCATAGTGTGGGGACTATAGAGAGACGGTGAGGAGCTGAAGGAGGTGCTGGGTCCCAGCTGGAGGTGTCTCTGGTGGTGCCATTGGGACTGGAGGCCTGGGCCCCACTTTGTGCAAAGGAATTCCCAGAGCCCTTTCAATTATTGCTTCATTCAGGAACTCCTTTATCTGTATGTTTGTGATTTGAATCGGGGTTTTGGGAGATGCTGAAATCTCCAGATTGGACCCACACTTGCATGGTATAGTGAGACAATTAAAAAAAAGAACATTTTCTGTGGGAGCTATGCCTGGGACTTCAAGGCTGGATTATAATAAGACCTCTCAATAGGGAGGTGGCATTTTTTCTCTTAAAGGCACAAGACTGACTAGGATAAATATGATAGGTTTCCCAATCACTTTTGTTCTTCAGTGCACCTTACGATGTAAGCATATTTAAAAGGTACCGTTTGAGAGCACATTTGACTTGTCTCTGACAACCCAAAAGGAGCAGTGATGCCGACTTGCTCATCCCAGGGCATCCCTGAGAGATGTGTGCCTGAAGCCGCATTCAGACTCCTCTAGGCTCTCTCCCACTCACTATTCCTAATGTAGCAATCTGTTCTCTTTGCAGATCACTCCACGTCTAGTGGTACCTTATCGTTTAAGCCCAGTCGCTCGATCATCACCCTGCCCACTGCACATGTGATGCCGTCCAGCTCCAAGCACAGGGACTCGCTGGCATCTGATGGCTCAAGGTGGAATGCAGGCCTCTTGCAAGCACTGGGTGACCATGATAGTGGTGAGAGGGACTCTTGTCTGGACATGAAGGGCTCTCGGCCCCTCCGGAAATGGTCATCTTTGTCCAGACTTGCTGGCCCTGAGGGCTGTGGCCCAGCTGGCATAGTGCACATGGAGCAGTGCAGGGTCGGCCTGGAGAAAGCTGGGCGGGGCACAGCCTCCACATTGCCGTGGAGGACGGTGGGGCCCAGCTGCCTGCATGACGGCGTGGAGGTGCTCAGGCCGGAGGACATGGGGCGCAGCAGTAGACGGGCAACAGCACTGGACTGCAAGTACAAGTTTGAGAGCTGCAGCCCTAAGGAGGACTTCCAAGCCTCCTCCTCCGCTCTCAGGAGGCAGCTCCTGGACATGACATACAGTGCCTTACCCGAGAGCAAGTCCCTCGCGGCAGGTCCGGACACCTTGGGGTCGCCCAAGTACTTAGTGCTTGGCCAGCAGTCAGTGGGCGGAGTGCCCATCCAGCCCTCCGTACGAACTCAGATGTGGCTCACAGAGCAGTTAAGGACAAACCCTCTGGAAGGCAGGACCACGGAGGATGCCTACAGTCTGGAGCCATGGCTGCAGCAGCCTGGGGAGGAGCTGCAGCCAGGCAGTGAGGCCCCGCTGCAGGTAAGGCACCGACCTGGCACTTGCTTCCTCCCCACAGTGGGGGCCTGGGCACAGAGGGCACAGTACTCAGTGGGCTGGGAACTGGCAGGATCGAATCTCGACGGTTTCCTATTTCCACCTGCATGTCCATAAATGGTAGTGTTGTAAAACCTGCAAAGGGTTTGACACTGAATGATCTGAAAATTTAAAAACATGACCCATTCTTTACTTTGGTTTCATTTGTTAAAGGGGCATAAAAATAAACAGAGGAAAACATACTTAATTGAAACAGAGCAGAAGCAGAACAGAGCTGCTGACAAGGGATGATGGCAGGAGGGTGAGCGTGGGAGTGCCAGGTCCTGAGTTACGTTTGCTGCTGCGTCACAGCCCATCACTCAGGTTCTGTGTACCTCAGTTTGATCTTTAAAATGAGAGAGTGGGACTGAAGTCATTTGGAAGGTGTTGAAAATGGTTGACATGTATTGTTTATAAATCAAATAAGGTTATTTTTTAAAAAGGTCAAGATTTTGTTCATCAGTATAAGGTAAACACTTTATTATAATGCAATATTAAAGAAATAGTGTAGGGCTGGGGATTTAGCTCAGTAGCTTGAGCATTTGCCTGGTAAGCGCACGGTTCTGAGTTCAATCCCAGGTACCATAAAAAGAAATTGTATGTATCCCTTGATGATATACAAGGGATATCCAGTGAAAACATGTAAATATGTAAATTTCCTGACTTTAGTGTTTCTATTTCAAGATAATTTCTACCACTCTATTTTACTGGGAAACCAAAATCATGTCATTGATTTTTTTTAATTATCAAATTTTCTGAAACATTAATTCTTCAAAATTAGCAAAATTTCCATAGAAGAGAATTTAAAATCAAGAATAAAGAGAGAATGTGTATGGGAGCCTCATACATCTGAATTACAGCCCTAGGACTTCCCTGCAGCCGTATAGGCCACGTTTTCAGAAAAAAACCTTAATTCATTGAACGTGCCTTCTGTACTCTTTAGTTTGAATGTTTTACAGTCTTGATTAGACCATGTAACTACATAGAAACAGATGATGTCTGAATCCCAGATCAAAGTGTTGATTTAACCAGATTTGTGATTGGTTCATGTAACTGGAAGACAGGAAGCCTGATTCCTCAAATGCTGCGCCTTGTAGTTCCCCAAACACTTGTGACACCTGGGGTGTGGGACCAGGCCGAGATTTCTCCTTTGGTGTCTTGACGTAGCTTGGAGCTGTTGAGGGGCTCAGTAGTTGTGTGATAGGCAGGGTGAGCTGGGTGAACAACATCAGTTTACTTACTCTGCTCCAGCAGTGTAGGAGAGAAGGAAAGTAAGAGGTGCACTGTGGAAAGAACTGTATTTTTAAGGCTTCCTCTTGCAGAATGTAGGGAGAAAGCTACAATGAACAGCTTTCCTGTGCACACGTGGTCTCACTGGGCTGGTGTCTGGTGCCTGTTGAATTTGAAACTTTAAAGGTGAAGCCAGCTAAAGAAAGCCAGACGCTTGAGTTGCATTGTCATCATTGTCATCATCTTCTTCTTGTGTGTGTCTGAGCGTATATATCCCTGTAAGTGTGCATGTGTCTGAGTGTGTATCTGTGTATTTGAGTATGTACATGTCGCCCACTTCTGGGAATCTAACCAGGGCCTGGACCTGCTGGCCATGCGCCCTGCCACTGCGCCCTGCCACTGCGCCACGCTTGCCCACCGGCTCTTAAACTGTCGGCTTCCTCTGCTCCCCTCCCAGTTCCCTTTCTGGACAGCTGCACATGAAACCCCTGACATCCTCTTTGGGCTTTCTCCTCCAAGGGTTCTTTGTTTTCAAAGCTGTCCTTGTGGTCATCTCTTTGTGACTTTCTTTAGTCTGATTTTTACATGAAGAGACAAGTCAAGGTGTTACTACCATCTAATAATTTTAATATCTTTGGTGGAAATGATCTCTTACATAAAGAATATGATAAAACAAAGGAGGACATTGTTTTGTGTAACATGAAATGAAATGAATGAAAGAGTTTTCTAATTTGGAAGTGTTTGACATATGATATCCTGAAAAGCACCAGCTTTGTTTTCATTCTTTATATTTGCATCCTGTTTTGTCTTTAATATTTTTAACTGTTTGAGTTAATCTGGGTACTAATTATACTCTGTGTGTAGCATATAATAGTATGACACATTCATTAAGTTCCTAAAAAGCATATAATTAATTTTTGTATGCATGTTCTAATTAGTAATGTGCTTGATTTTTCTATTTGTCAACTTTTCTATATAATTGGATGTATAATTTCTAGACATTGTATAGTGTATACTGAGCATATGAGCAAATCTTTTTTGAGATTTATTATAGTCCCACTTTGACAAGACTCAGAAATAGTCAAAGGGTAAGTAAGCTTGGGCAAAGCTAGTCTTCTGTGTAGGTCTGCCCCCTTGTGTTGGTAATAGGAAATCTTGGTTAGATTTTATTTGGAAAAGCTCCCCTCCACCCCTTAGATCAGAACTGGTCATAGTGAGCACGTCTTGTCCTTAGTACCAAGCATCTGCACATCACAGAGCAGTGATGGCGAACCTTTTAGAGCTTTCAGTGGTGCCAACAGCCCGCTTCAGTGTGCGTGCCATGGGTTTCCCACCGTTATCTAAGAACAGCTTCATGGAGTTCAGGAATGTTCATTTTAGTATGGGTGACTCTGACTTTTACATTCAGCAAATACACATTTTTACATTGTAGAAGGCAACATAAAATGTTGCAAAGTTAATTCTCTTGTAATACCCGATAAGATTAGAATTCAAGTATTTAAACATTTAGTAATTTTTAAAAATACATTATTTTCCCCAAAGTTCCCTCTTTATACATTACAGTAAAAAGTAAGTTCCACTTAAAAAACAAATTCTTGTGCATTTTGAGTCATAGTACCCTTAAATTCTCACAGTACAAGATTTTAATTTCTGTCAGAGGCAGAATGAAAAACCAAGTTATTATTTCCATTTACTTAGGAAAAGCTAACTCACAGTTGATAACTTTAGTTGTTGTAACAAAAGTTTTGGACTTATCAGTTGGGAAACTTCCTTTATGCCAGTGCATGCCAGTGCAGCTGGCTGGAATGGGGACGGCTTAGCACAGCTGCAGGCCCTTTGCGTGGGGTGAGCTGTGTGGCTCCTCACCTTCTGCACCTCCTCGGATGTGTGACCTGAGCCTCCCTGGGTGCCCAGCGCCCAGGTGGAGGGAAGAGGAGAGCAACATCGCCTGTGCCTTGCAGTTAGGAGCCAAGGTCCGCGCCAGGGCTGCTGCTGCTTTTGACCACTGGGTGGCAAAGGCAGTTCACACTGCAAGCCCTGCTCCCAAGAGGTGAGGTGTGCGTGATGGGTGAGGCCCTGCCTGGAGCTGCAGCAGCTGTCAGATGGCCTGGATGCGGTTCAGACTCAGTCACCCTGGTTACTGAACTTGGGTGAAGGCGTATTTCCAGCACCAGTGTTTACTTCTGCTGCCTTATTAGTTGTTGCAATGCTTCAAAAATGACCAGAGGGGAGACTGCAAATATATTCATCAAGAAAGTAATTACAGGTTAGCATCAGTGGATCTGTCATTTAGCTAAGTGGGGGCGGCCTACAAAGTAAGTATGTACTACCTGGATAATAGATTAAGAAAAATAATTGTATCCTGGAGTAAATAATAGAACAAAAAGTTCATTTTAAAACATAATACAAGAATATTTGGAAAGGATTTAAATTTTATTTCTTTAATGCCTGAAATAATGTATTTTTCTGTCACTGGAAATCTTTTGTTTTCTTTCTTTCTCCTTGGTCTGAGGTTGGAGTAGAAAAGAACCTATACGATCATTCTGAAGTCTAAAGATTTCTTGGTATAGTCTGACAAGGTAGGTAATGCTGCAGTCTTACAGTAAGGTTTGACCCTATTGTGATTCTTGTGTGATTAGTAGGGATAGCTATGGTAACCAGTTCTTACGTGCTGATGACAACATCTTAGAATAGATAGAGCCATTATTCATGTACATGTACTAGAATTCTGTTTGAAAAAAATAATAGTGGAATTTATTTATATAAGAATATGTTCCTTTCTTTCATTTTCATAAACTGAAAGTGTTTGTTTGGTACAGGGAAGAATATAACTCATGGTTTGGAAGCGACGTGTGGACAAGGGTTCCTGGCTAGTGTGTGCGAGTGTGTGGACTCAGCACTGTGCATGACGGCTTGCGCCTCAGGTGCAGTGACGGCGAAGCTTTCAGGGTACAGACGGCCTGCCGGGCATGCCTGCCATAGGTTCACCACCGCTGCCAATGCTAGTAACTATACCTCGACAGTGCATTCTAAATTCTACTTTAGCCCAAGAATGAAGCCAACTTTGTGGCAGGTGATCTTGGTAGCTGTGCTGTTTCAGAATTAAACTCCTACTCACTCCATCCTCAAAGAGGACTTGGGAGAGGAGACTGCAGGTCACTGGCTGCAGTGGCAGGCGCGTTACACACTACTTTGCGATGGTCAGAAAGCCAAGGCTGGAGAGTTCTAGGAGCGTGGCGCGTTTGCGCCCCTCACCAGCCCATCCACTGGCTCAGAGCAGCATCACGATGATGCAAATGAGCAGCAGGCAGATGAGGATGAGGCAGAAGTTGATGAAGAGGTTCTGGAGGTTCTGGCGTGCCTGCTGGGGCATCTCGATGGTTGAGGCCCTCCTGATGGCAGAGCGAGTCAGGTGCTGCACCTTCTCCATGGCGCCGGCCCCAGGGGAGTGTCGGGCAGGTGGCAAGGTGGCACTGATGGAGAGCGCCTCCAAGACAGCCTGGAAGGAGAGATGGTCTGGGGTTAGGGTCTGCGAGACACTGAGCTTGCAGCCTCACACTGTGAGTACATGGCATTTCCTCTGTCCTGCCCTGCCCTGCCCTGCCCTGCCCTGCCCTGCCCTGCCCTGCCCTGCCCTGCCAGGACTCGGCTATGCAGCCTCACTCCTGCTGGGCAGTGACTTCAGGAACACCCACCCCCACCCTGCAGCCAGGATTGAGGTACAGCCTATTTTGGGTCATGAATTCTTAACAGTGGTTTCTGTCTGTGCAATGGATGTGAATGGTTAGTGTACTGAGCTCCAGAGCTAGTCTCATGAAAAGAATGCAGGCAGCCAATTATTTCCTCAAAGCTTTTAATCCAAAATAAAATGGTTAGCTAGGCATCAAGGCACACTCCTGAAATCCTCCTGGCAGGGAGGAGGCTGAGGCAGGAGGATCCTGAGTTCAACCCTAGCCTGATCTACACAGTGAGTTCCTTCCATCAACCAAAAAACAAAACAACTAAACCAGACTAATTGAGAAAAGCCATGTAGTTAAAACGAGAAACAGATTCAAGTTGTTTGTCTTCTTTCTGATCTGCTGCTTTGCAAACCTTGTTTAGATAACATTTTAAGGAGACTTGCTGTTCCTACGAAGACTGTTGGGCCAGGGTGGGGTGTTGCTCACTGTGGTGATCTCACCACCCACCTCAGACGGTTCCGCTGACAGAGGAGCCTCGTGCAGAGCTACGCAGCTCTCGTCCTGCCTTCTTTCCGAGCTCCACAGCCTGTTGCTGCTTGTGGGGCCTGAGCCCTGATTAATAAACAAGACAAACACGTGTGCATGGAAACATTACAGATGAAAACCTGACTGTCCAGCTTAGTGGCTGTTAATATTTGGGGATACTTTATTTTCAATCAATATTTCTGTTTCAGCCAGGTGTGTTGGTGCACACCTGTAACTCCAGCACTTGGGAGGCTGAGGCAGGAATCTCACTACGAGTTCCAGGCCAGCCTGGGCTACACAGTAAGAACCTGTCTCAAAAAATAAAACCAAAACAAAACAAAGAAATATTTGAAATAAATATTAAAAATGGAATTTAAAAAGCTGTATAAGCCCTGGCTCATGGTAGTGGTTCCTCATGAGCAGAGTGATACAGCTGCAGGTTCTCCATGCTCTACACACCCAGGACACCCGTGGTGGCCAGGGGGCCCCACCTGAGAGAAGCAAGTGCCCAGATGGTAGCGGTGGCCAGGAGGCTGTGTTGGCTTGGTCCTTAGGACCTGGCATTTGTGTCTCCAGGGAGACCTGTGGCTTCTTCAGGGCACTGTGTGATCAAAGCAATAGATACACTCAAATGAGAGATTTTAAGACCAAAGACCTTGGAAAAGTTAGTGTACTCTCAGGATTGCTACAGAAGCTACACCCCCAGCCCTTTTTATTTTTTGTTACTGGGGATCGAACTCACCTTTTTAAAATTCGTAGAGCAGGTTGTGCTAAGTTGTCCCGGCTGTGTTGATCTTCCTACCTCAGCCTTCCAGAGTGCTGGGGTTACGGGTGTTTGCCACCATCCCCGACTGAAATCAGCACCGTGTATCTAGACCTAAATTGACCCCATAATGAAGTCTGCCTATGTTGAAGCTTTGACTTAGAATTCTTTAAACAACAGCACAGAGAGATTTTCCCTTCTGAAATTGGCATGTGGCCGTTGCTTTTGGTGTAGGTTTCATTTCTGTTCATTATATTACATGTTGAAATAATGATTTAACATGTAGCTTATTTGCATTAAAATACTATTTTAACCCTGTAGGTGCTATGGCTCAGATTGCCTTTTTATAAGAGGCATGGGCAAGGGATTTGGGGGAAGATGAGTGGTTATTAAGCCTGCTCCTCAGCGTGCCTGAAACCGCTGTTGCTGTTCCTGTTGCCAAGCACTGGGGGTCCTCAGCTGCCTGTGCCCGCAACTGAGCCTGCCCGCCTGCCCGCCTTGCTGCTGTGCTGGGCGTGGAAGGAGAGCTCTGCCTGGAGAGATGCCATCTTGTTGGAGGCGAGGTGCTCTATTTATTTTTATGATACATTTCTGTTTTCAGATGTTTAAACTGTTACAAGCCACCATGATTTAAATAAGAGAAAAAAACCACTTCAGAAAGGACAAGGAATCTCGTGTTTAAAGATTGTAAATTCGTTAATTCACCGTTAAGGAACTCAAGAGGTCCACAGTATGTTTTTAAAGTTACTATAACCGTTCTTTTCTCAATAGGGCCTAGAAGAATAATTTTTTTCCAGTGTAATGGAATTGTCAATTGAATATAAGCAAATAAAAAGTAATTTGCCTTTTCTGGAGACGGACTTGATGAAAGACATAGGATGTCCCCGGAAATGTGAGAGAACACAGTATGTGAGAACATCAAAATTACTGAACTGCTGGGCATGTTCGAGGTACCGTGAGAACCCTGCCAAGCGCTGCGCAGGCCTCGTTCTGTGAGTTGCTGCTCGCTGCTGTCAGGCACTGGTCAGGGGACCCCCAGGCCCCCAGGTGGGAGTTAGTGACTGCACACCACAGAGGCAGAGGGGATTGCTGCGGGCGCACTTGGAAACAAATTTAAATGGTAGATGGAGGGGCAGAGATGAAAGCTGGGATTTATGGCAGTGCAGTCAAGTCCCACAGTATGGTTTTCATAGAAAATTTTGAGGAGAACTTACCTGGATTTTAGATATCAAACTTAAGTGAATTGAAAGTGTATTTTATGATGGAAACAAGTAATAATAGGAAACTTATTTGATTGTGGCATGTTATTTAAAAAACATGTCTGTGGTTATTTTGAGCTTTTCCTACCTGGATCTATTGCTTAGTAACTGTGAATATCTGTAGCTTCCTTTTATCCCTGGCTTTGAAAATGATGGGTGGAATATCATTTATTAAAGAAAGAATTCTAGGTAGAATAACTTTAAGTTAGGAGGTTGTGTTCTTTCCATTTGTCTTGGAAGCATCACTGACAGTGTTGAGTGCCCTCTTAGTGTCCTGGCTGGGTTAAGACCTTGCTGATCATGGTGCAGGGTGCACAGGAGCTCAGTGTGAGCTGGATTCCTGCGGGACGGTGTCCGCAGCTCTGACCACAGCAGCTACGCTTGGCATGTTTCCCAGGGCGTGAAGTAGAGATGCAGCAGTGCCAAATGTGCAGTGAGTGAGGGTGAAGAAACGTTGGCGTGCAGAGGGCACTCAGAAAATTGTTCTCCAAGAAAAATGATGGGAATCCCGACTCCTTTTTTACAGTTGATAATAAATAATACTATCTGATAGAGGTAATCTACACTTGAATTTTTTCAGTTAAAGCTGTAGTACAATTTATAGTTCCATATTACATTGTCAGTACATTACATAATACACTTAATACATGTTAAAGACATGGAAATATCTTCTTAAACTGCTTTATGTCAATATTCTATCTCTAATCAATGAGATTACAAAACAATATGTATTAATATATAGCCTGAATGCATTGTGCTTTATATCTACTAAATGCTGTGAAAGTGATTTTGCTATGAGTTGTAGGACACAGTAGCAGGACAGCTCTCAGTAAAGCAAACACTCTGGTTCTCTTGTTGTTAGAACTTAATGTTCTGTAATTTATGTGGCTTTCACATTTTTCCCATCTGAGTTTATCCAGCACTGTCTTTAACACAAAGACAAAACTTAAGTGTTATTGTGCAACCGATGTTGTTGTCTACTGTGAGACTGTTTGAGCACCAGCAAGTGTAACCTGTTGTCTGTTAATGCTAGAACATCCACTGTTCAGCTGCAGGTGACAGCGGCAGCAGAACTTGGCTCCGTGGGTGTGGCCTGCTGCGGGGGCAGTCTGTGATGGGACACTGGCCACTGCAGGTGCCAGGGCGACACAGTGGGCATTTGAATAAGGGCACAGGAACATGCATAGGAAACACTGGCACGGAGTGACTTCTGTGTGTGACAGCAGAGGAGGCTGTTTCCCAAGTGAGGGATGCAGGTGACAGGCAGAGACACCTTAGCCACGGGGTGCATCTGTCTGGATGCGTCTTCCAGCATGGCGTGTGGACGAGTGCTGCTGTGGGTTGCAGTGAATTCCATTGGACGCAGGAACTGGGAATGCTAGAGGTAAGTTTATTTTTGTATATATGTATTATGAAAATGAAATAAAATGTATGTAGCTTTCTCTATCCTGAGAGAGAGATTTTAAAATGAGGAAATACTTCATTTATTAAATTGAGGATTGTAACGTAGAGTAGATTTCAAACGAAAGTCACAAATTTTACTGTGGCGTGTCCCATCCTGGGCATTGTCTTTTCTTTCCTCTTTGTTCCTCCATAAGACAATAACTTGACAAAAGTATATTTATTAGTAGGCAGTTTATTTTTTAAAATGTTGAATTATTATTCTGCAACTTTTTCTACATGTGTTTATGACAAGTTTACTAATATTTTCAAACCTCTTTGTGATATAGTATTAAATTCATGTAAGATATTATTAAAAGTATAAAACTTTTAGAAGTGTTCATTGTAAGTTGACTAGATTTTAGAGCGAGGAAAAATCTTCTGAACATTTTAAAACTAGCTTGTATTTACATTCTGAGGCAGTTTTACTAATATCACAAGGGATTGTAGTAATGACTTCCCACTGGACTGCTGAGACCAAGCGTACCCCCCCCCACCCCAGACCAAGTGTGATCCCCCAGCTCACACTATTCCGAGGTAAATAACCCTGCCCAGACCTGTAGTCTCCCAGGAGAGCACAGTAACGAATGAAGCCAGTGTTTTATTAAACCACCACTACCACCAAAGATGGTAACATAATTGGAGGGCTTTTTCATTGCCAGAAATTCCCATTTGAAAAGCAAAATAAAAATGAAAGTTAAAATAACAGACCGATGACCAGGATTGAGATGACTGTGACTCTTTACAAAGTTGAGCCATCGAGTGCCTCAGCATTTATGTACAAATACAGAGATTTTATTATCTAACTTCAAACCTAAATTTAGAAAACAGACTTAACTCTTTTTAAAAGTTCACTGAGTTTAAATTACAGAAACCCAGATCAGACCACAGCGAGTTTGTGTCTTACCTTCTCTCTGTGGTGGTGGAAGTTGAGTCCCGCGGGTCCTGTGAAGTCCCTGCACAGTTGGCTAGGAGTTTCCGGACTGTTCCAGGCTTAAGGGAGCAGCTGCAGGAGGTGGAGGAACGGAGTGTTTCAGGGAGGTCTCAGGGTGTCACCCTGGACCTGGGTTGTGATTGGCTAGACATAGGCTTCTCACACCAAATGTGGAGTCTCAATTGTATCTCTGTAGGTGTGGAAAGGTAATTAACACTTTATGCCTCTTTTTTGTTTTCAGTTTCAAAAAGCATATTACAGATAAAAAAAAAAAAAAAAAAACTTTTGTTGTGGAAAGTATTTCTTAAAGGTTTCTGCATCTTCAGACTTAGAGATAATTATTTTTTATGTTTTAAGATGATGTTGAAGGCCAGAGTAGTTACTGTAGTTGGAATTTTAACAGTGAAACAGTTAGGGAAACAGTTTTTGTTGAATTGTTAACTGCTGTTTTGATCCTACAGTTTCATAATGCTGCAAGACAAAGATTAAACATGTCCACAAAATCAGACTTTATACTGCCTTATTTTGTTCTTGTGGGTCTGATCTGTGTGTATGTGGAGGCAATGTGTGTGAGAAAACCAGGTTGATAACTGCTTTTGGTTTAAAAAATAAAAGCCTTATCTTACAGTGAACTAGTAAGTGTTTAATTCATGTTTTCCTTAGTTAGAAATTTAAAAATACATTTATAAATAATAATTGCCATATTTAAGTTTACTATATATCACCCTAGCAAAAAGTAATTTGCAAATTTAAGTATTAGAGATTTTTTTAATAGCTGCATTAAATTGCCTTAAGTCCTACCAGTTTTTAATAAGCTGGCTTAGTGTCAATGGCAAAAAAAAAGCTGTAAATTCTTCATCATTTGCATGATAATGAAGCTTTACTGACATAGGGTTGTGTATGCTGAAGTTGTGTAGTGTTTCTAAAAGGTTGTGCTTTATTTATTCTAGCATTTGCTTTCCTGAAAACTTTTGCTTACATTCACTGACATTTTACTCAGTGATAGTCTGAACTTTCTAGAGCTGTTTATGTTAGGATAGAACTAAGTAAAGCACCGCTTCGAAAAGCCAAGCGTCATTCTCCTGGTCTGCATATACAGTTTTATGCATTCGATTTACCTAAATTACCAGAGATACAAACTCTTTAAGTTTTTAAATTTCTCCTTCAGCTCCAGGAAGCTCCTTGTAATTATGTGTTTGAGCCTCCTGGGGGAGCGATTACAGCCTGCTTCCCCAGCTTGCTGTGGGTGGCTGGAGTGCCACAGCAGCTCCTGCTGTGCCCTTAAATGGACAGGATCTTGGCTTCTTCCAAAGAAAGATAAAATCCTTCTCTTGAGAAAATCTGTTATTTAAGGAATCAACTAAAACTAAATGAAAAATAGTGTTTCAGCCAAGACCCTCTGTAAAGTTTACTAAGGGAAAATTTACCACCTTACAGTGATCCCCAAATTAATTTGTGAATTTTTGACACTTTGCTGTCAGTGCTTTGCAACCATTTTATTTCCGTTCTAACATAATAAAAATTGCCTATTATTTGTCAGTGATGACTGGATGCTGAGAAACCTATAGTGGCCTACAGTAATTTGTTAGAGATAACACAGCTGGCTTACACAGGATGCACTGAGAACTCAGATCTAGGTATGTGTCTAGCTGTAACTCCCGATGGGTTGGTGTGTTGTGTGAAGAGCGCATGGGTCCTGTCATACAGCAGCGTGTATCAGCTGGAAAGCTCTCCATGTGGAGATAGAAGTGTTGTTGGGCCCTGTAACTAGTTCTGGAAAGTCTGCTCCAGGTTTGTCTGCTGGGTCCGTACGTGTTGGAAAGTGAAGCTTAGGAAAGGGACCATTATTAGTGCGCTGTGCTCATTCTAAGAAAATAGCACTGGCACCACTGAGCTGGAGAGACTCAGAAACCACAGAAGACTGAACAAAGGGTGTCTGTGTGACCTCACGTGTGCAGACTGACTTAAAAACCATGTTATGTGCACATCACATGCGTTACTTCCCAGGGCACTCACTATGTGAATATTGGAGTTGGAAAGGAATCACACTTTCCAGATTTCTTGACTTTGTTTGTTAGGTTGGCTGATGGTGATGAGGAAATTCTAGGTGGGCATGGTGAAGGGTTGCTGGGTGGTTCGCATTATCCTGCAGAAGTTTTGGGGCAGATCAGAAATCCTCCTCCATTCAGGAGGAGGGGAAGGATATGAATGGTTAGGACAGTAGGATAGGCGTGGAATCCCAAGAGGGTAAGAGTAAAGAAAGGTCATACTGGAAGTCCGTGTTCCCCAAACTGAGCCTTTTGAAAAATTTCTTTTTTTCCTCATTGGATTCATAATACTATAATCTTTAATACTTTACAAGCTTTTAACATTGGTACATGCATAGCCAGCTTTTACTTGTATAGTTATTTTAATGGTAATACTTTTTGGTGTTTTAGTAACAAGCACCCATGAAATCACCATCTAAGAAAAGGCAGTATGTTCACAATAGCAAAGGTCTTAGTCACAGGTCTGATCACGTTTCCCTGGTCTTCTCAGTCGAGGAAGTGATTATTTTGAATCCTTAGTTTATTTTTTTGCTTTTGTTTTTATATAATTTTTATATATGCCCTGAAGATATTTTTTACTTTTCACTGACGTGTATGGTGATGTGTGTAATATTTTACACCGAACATTTAAGCTTCAGCCTGAGATGATGTCAGGTGGGCAGAGGATTCAAGGGAGCATTTGAACATGAGGATCATTTAACTGGTAATTAAAGCATTTTAGTATATAGACAGGGTCATGAAACAGTACATTGCAAACTTTGAATGAACTTCTGATGTAAGATCTTAAAGATAAGGAAGTTTTTGTTTTTGTTTCTTGTTGTACCCCAAAAAGGAGACCCTGAGATGTCCAAAAACAGGCAAGATGTCTTTAAAAGAAAAAGGAGCACTTTATTTAAGCTGGCACTAGTGACACAGTGCAGTTGGAGTTTGCAAAGCTGTGTAATGGGGTTAAAATTTTGTCAGACTTTTATAAGAAAAACCACAAAACCAATGATGGGGGGAAGGACAAAAATGAGGAAGACCTTTGTTCCCCCTTGCTTGAGGACAGGGAATCTATGGGAAGTTTCCAAGTTGGTGGTCAGCCATTTTCTTCTTCACAGGAATTTACAGCCTTTGGTCTACTAATTCCAGGAATATCTGCTTTTCAGTTATGATGGCAAGGGTTAAGATGAAGTGTGGGAACAAAGGTTGACACAGCAAACAGGTTACCCTGAGTAAGGATGATGCATACAGGACAGTATGGCACCGCTGCAGTTAATTTACAACAATGTGGTGCTCCAGGCTGGTCAGCTGTGAAAAACAGCTGTGTTTGCGAAGGGAGTTAAAAGGCAATAGGTCAGATAACTAGGGCAATGGCCAACATAGAGCAGGATGACAATGCTCTTTTAGCTAGTGCACAGCATTTTTGTTCTTCAGTTGGTCATCCCAGACACCTAGAGATTTTATTTTATTACCAGGGGTGCCTTTCCATTAGACATTTGACAATTACTGTCTTAAATTTTAAAGCCACCTAAGGAACAATTAGTTGAAAACACAGTTTAAAAAATGAGACTGAGAGGATACTGGAGGAGACTTAGAGTATAGGAATCTCTTCTGGGGCAGGGGAGGGAGGCCGCTCCTCAGGGGGAGGAAGAGCCCTGGGACGAAGCCCTTGAGGTGTTGTGAGGTCCCTGAAGGACAAGGCTTGGCAGCTGTTTGCAAGCCCAGTTTGCTTTTTCATCACTGTCTGAATTGTCAACACATTTTCTTTCCTTATTAAATATCTCAGCCATGAACTGTAAGAGGCCAGATAGTCTAAGAAAAAGAAGAGAGAGGGTACGTGTGTGTGTGTGTGTAAACCTACAGAAAATGTTCTAAGTGACAGAGGCACTGTTGCACATAGAGGTTTCAAGGGAATTGTTAGTTTATAAGTATTGTGGAAACAAAACATTTTGCTCTGAGAATCTAACTGGTAGTGCAGGCTACCCCAATAGAACAAGGAAATTCGGACTTCAAAGTAAAATGAGCACATAACTAAACAGCAGTGTGGCTACAGTTTCTAAGGGATAGTGTATTTTATATGAAGGACACTGGGAGAACCAAGCTAAAATATAACAGGACCACATGTCCTGCGAGACAGATGCAACTGCGAAAGTCAGCCCTCATGTCTGCGATGGCCACCTTGCTAGTCCACTCTCAAGGTGATCACAGCTTGGCGCATGGTTTTTGCTGTGTCCTTACAGACATGAAACTTAACATCGCTGTACCTGGCAGCTAAGCTTTTGGGGCTACTGCATGGGTTTTGTATACAGAATGAAAACATTAGACTCACCCTTTGTCCTCTGCTGGACTCGCCACGACTAGGAAACCAAGTACAGATTACTGCTGTGGATCTTCATTTCCAGAGCCTCATGGACCCTCCTCTGAACTTTATTTTATAGAGTTTATTAGCTAACTAGTCTTTCTTTTCTTCAACCTGATGTCCAAGTTGCCATTCTTAGGCACAAATTGGATTGTCAGTCATGCTGAAACTTTCCATTTTGTCCATTTCTTCTGAGTTAAACACCTAAATGTGATAGCATTATGTACAGATAAACTCCCATCTGGCCTTGCCCTCCAGTACCACTGTAATGTTGTTCACCTTGCTGCTGTGTTATTGGTCTCTAGTTCTTTTATTGTAGGCAATTAAGTTAGGTAGAAATTAATACACAGAGAGGAACTTGGCTCTCAAGGAAGTCAGTGAAAAATAAAGATACCAGAATGGTGGCTGGAGGCGCATCTGAAGAAGGCCAGCCCTCAAGATGGAGATGGTATGGCCAGGCCTGGGATAAGCAGTAACTTGAGATTATATTGTACTTAGCACCTGCAGGTTCAAAATACAGATTAGCATCAGTCATCCAGGTGAGTGACCAGAGCTTCCCCAAAACGCCTTTATTCTTTCCATGAGCCCTTGCTATGAACCCAGCCTCCCTACTAGATCAATAAAGCAGTTATAATCCTACAGGTTGATCATAGTTTGACGCATATTGTGACTTTCCTTTATAAATTACCACTGACAAAGAGCCTTGGTGACAACCCACTTTCAGGACCCTTCCTGTCTCTCAGGAGCTCTCTCAATAAATCTTT